CCCCCCCCCGCCCCAGCCGCACAGGTTCCCCCAGCGCCGCCATCTTCTCCCTTAGCCCGCAGACCCACAGGAAGTGACGACAGATGGGCTGGGCGCGGGGCGGGGCCTGGCGGCAGTCGGAAGGGGCTGGCGGGCCAGTATCGCGAGAGCAGGAGCGGCGCCGAGAGCCTCGCCGGAGCCTGCGGGAGGCGGTACCTGGGCGTGGGGTTTCCCAGGGCGGTCCGCAAGGGCCGCTGAAATTGAGCAGGTGCGGCGTCCCTACTCGCTCCCTGACCAGGACTTCGCGCCTCGCTGCACGTGCTCGGAACCCTCGGCCCCATCAGCAGACTCAAGTAGCCGGGTTCTAGCCCCGGCTTGACCCTGGGCGGCTCTGACGCTCCGCGCTGCTCACTTCCGTCGTCTCTGTACCTGTTCAGTGCGAAGACGTGGAAGCACTAGGGCGGGAGAGCGAACAGGCGCTTTGGTGCTCTGCAAAGTAACAGCTTTAGGGAGCTGATTTGAAATCTTAGCGTAGATGAATTATGAAGCAAGTCATAGTCTTAATGCATTATAGAGCTTTAGGGTCATTTTTTAGAATGTCCTGAATCAAAGTAAATTTAGGTCTTAGTGAAATGAAATGCTAATTTCCCCAGTATTTGTATTCCACTAACTTACATCGAAGTCCTGAGTCTGCTAACACTGTTAGGTGCTTTCACATCCAGTTTCAATGAGGGGGCAAGTGTGAGTTACTAACCTCCTGGTTCCCCTGGCCCACCCTTTCCATTCAACTGTAATATTCTTTAGTAATCCGTCATGATTGTCATCACTGCGCTCCCCTCTTGAGCCCTGATTGATCATCAGAAGTTCTGCTCACACGCTTTCAGCGATTTCTCTCCCTTCTGAAGCCTTGCATACTGTGTTCATAACTCATCCAACCACCTCATTTCTCATTACCCTCAGGCGCGACCCTCATTCCAATTGAGGTGGTCTATACAAAACCTTTATTTATTTTTTAGAGATTTTTGCCTTAGGGGGTGTGTGCTCGCTGTAGAGAAAGAGAGACACAGTGTGAGGGAAAGTGAGAAATCACCCCTTACTCTTGGGGTAATGGCTACACCGCCATCCCTTCTCCTCTGTTCTTGGCCCCAGATCTTGGGCCTGTACATACATGCAGCCGGTGTGAGTTTCAAGGCACTGGGTCCAGGATTCAAACCACCGTCTGCCATATGGGAGTCCAGAAGTGTAACCACTATGCCATCTGCTGGCCCCACAGAACCATGTTTATTCCTACTTTCAACTATTCCTTGGTGCAGTTCCTGCATGGGATACCTTCTTCAGCTCCTATTCTCCAAATTTTATACACTGAACTGAACCCATCCTTTAGCTCCCTCCCGGAGATGTTTCAGTCTCCCAAGCCTTCCCTTTCTCCATATCATTTCCCTTCTTTGTCCTTTGATGGCCCAGATACCTGGCAGTCACACTCATGGGTTTGTCTCTTACTCATGGCATCATTTGCTCTGCCACAAATGTGTTCAAGAGAAGTCTATTAAATGCCTGGGGTCTACCAGATCCCTTGCCAGGAATAATGTGTGGAACTAGACAAAAACAGATATTGCTCTCTTTTTTTTTCAAGTAATTTTACTGATTTTCCTGCTCCTCTTTAGAGGTGGTTAGTGGAGTTGTGTACATGTACTAAGTGTACATGTGTGTTCAGCCACCACACAGTATTTATTTCACTGCTCACTGAAAGGCTATTCTTTTTTTTTTTCCAAGCCTTTCTCTGAGTTCCCTTTGAATAATTCCTATTGTTATGCCTTCATGTTTACTATTTTTTCCCCAATATCTAATATTGTCTTTATCCATCCAATTCATTTTCATCTTAGACTATTGTACTTAAAAAAAGATTTATTTAATTCCATTTGTTATTATTTTTTAATTTGACCAAACAGAGACAGAGAGAGAGGAAAGCTCTTGAGAAAGCAAGCCACCAGGTCTAGGACTCGAACCATAGTCAGTCATGTGGGAATCCAGTCCCCTTATTCACCACACCACCTGCCAGCCCCTAGACATTGTACTTTTATTTATCTCTATCAGTTTGACTTAGGGGTGTGTGTGTATGTGATAGTTTTACATCTTCCATGTCTGCACTTAGTATGTTCAATGTTTCTTGTAACTTCTTAGAAGTAGGGAGTATGATTAGTTTGACAATTTTAATGTTCTTGTCTAATTCTTCATCTATGCTATTTCTGGCACTGCTTCTATTGGTTGATTTTTCTCTTCATTATGGCTCATAATATCCTGCATTTTCCATGTCTAGTTGTTTAATTTTTTAGATAGGATGCTAGGCATTGTGAAATTTATTTACATGAACACAACTTTATTCTTCTGAGGCTTAGTTTTAAGCTTTGTTAGGGACCAGCTCAGTCTTCTGTGAATTGTGTATGCCACTACTAAGGCAATCCCCTTATAACTTTATTTACCTTATGTCCCATGTGAATTAGGTAGTTTTTCTACTCAACTGGTAGGGACAGGAAGTATTCTCATGAACTGGGGTTGTAAATTATTTATTAATTTGGAATAGTCTTTTCCCATCTTTGGTAAATTATTATTTTAAGTTTATTTGTCTCTTCCATGAGTGAGAGAGACAAAGAGATAGAGGGAGACAGAGAAAGAGACAGGCACTCCAGGAGAGTTTTCTAAAATTATTTAATTTATTTATCATTTAATTTGACCACACACACACACACACACACACACACACACAGAGTAAGCCACCAGGTCAGGCTCAAGCTGCAGTTGCCCATGTGGGAGTGTCCAGCACCCTAACCACCATGCCACCTGCTAGTCCCATCCAGCAGAGTTTTGATGTTGTGATCCACCCTGAGCCTCAGCCAGCTCCACATCATGGGCATTTGCCCGGCATCCTCAGTGAGGTCTCCAGACACAAACCTAGAACCTTCTTATAGGGGTCTGACTCACAGAGCATCACAGTTCACTACCGTGTTACCATCCAGCTCCTGTTTTGGAAAATTCCTTTTTATTTTGTAAGAGAGATTTTTGCTATAGGGTGCATGTGCTTGCCAGAGAGACAGAAAGGGAGAACTTACCCCCAGGGGGAATAGTCACACCATAATCCCTCTGCTTCAGTTCTCCTCTCAGGATTTTGAGCATGCATGTACATGCACCTGGCATGAGCTTCAAGCCTCCAAGTCTGGGATTTGAACCATGGTTGGCCCTGTGGGAGTCCAGTGATGTAACCATTACACCATCTACTGGTCCCAAAGTGAGAAAGTAAGCCGCCAGGTTCGGGACTTGAACCACAGTCAGCCATGTGGGAGTCCAGGGCCTTAACCACACCACCTGCTGTCCCACCTTGGTAAATTCTTAACACATATAATCATCACGGAGCTTCAGAGTCCCAGGGATAGGTTGAAGATCCTAAATGTTTTCAGAGAGTAAAAGTCACATTCCAAGGATGCAAATCAGAACGGGATTGTGCTTAGCAACACCACTGGACACTGGGGATACTAGGAGCAGTAACGTTTTTCAGAAAAATACTTAAACTGGAATTCTATACACAACTTTATTAGTTTTCTAGGACTACCATAACAAAATACGGCAAACTGGGTGACTTAAAACAGCAAATATTTATTAGCTTACAATTTTGGAGCCTACAAGTCAGAAATCAAGGGGCCATATTCCCTCGGAAATTGTGGAGAATCCTTTCTTGTTCCTTCCCAGTTCTCTGGTAGTTTCCTGGCAGCTTTGATATCCCTTGGCTTGCAGTTACATTACTCCCATCTTTGCTGCCACTGTGACATGGCATTCCCCTGTGCATCTGTCTTTATCTGGACATCTTCTTATACAAACACCAGCCCCACTGAACTAGGATCTCACCCTACTCCAGGATGATCTCTTCTTAATTACATCAGCAATAGCGCTGTTTCCAAATACGGTCATATTCTGAGGTTCTGGAGGTTAGTACTTCCATTTTTTGTCTTTGTTTTTAGGTTTTTGCAATATGGCCTGTGCTCTCACTGGAGAGAAACAGTGAGAGGGAAAGTGAGAAATCACCCCCCGGCGGGGGGGGATGGCCACGCCACACTCCCTTCTCCTCTGTTCTCCTCTTGGAATTTTGAGCATGCGTGCACACACAACCTGGCATGATTTCCAAGCTGCCAGGTCCAAGACTCAAACTATGGTTGGCTATGTGGGAGTCCAGAGCCTTTACCACCATGCCACCTGCTAGCCCCCATGGACTTCAATTTTTCTTTTATAGAGAATAACAAAATTTAACCCATAACACCAAGCAAATTATTAATTAGGTATGAGGGGAGCATAAACAATACTTTAGAAATGTAAGTTCTTCCAGTCCAAACCTGAAGTTTTGTTTGTTTGGGTTTTTTTTTCTTTTTTTACTTTTATCTACATTTATTTTATGCTGACTTTATTCCCGTGCCATAAGTTTTTGTTTCTTCAGTTTCTTCTGGGATATCTTTTTCCTCTGTGCAACTTCCTCTTCCGGTTTAGGGACAATTTGCTCCTTTTCAGTGAGGATCATCTCGATGTGGCAGGGGGAGCTCATGTGTGGGTTAATCCGTCCATGAGCTCTGTAAATACGACGACGCATCTTTGGTGCCTTGTTCACCTGCATGTGCTCAATGACCAGAGAATCTACATCTAACCCCTTAAGTTCAGCATTACTCTCTGCATTTTTAAGCATGTGCAGCAAAAACTCAGCACTCTTTTTGGGCCACCGACCTTGTGTCCAGCCCCACTGTTTAGCCTGGGCACATCTACCAACTCCACCATTGTAACGACGGAATGGCACACACTGCTTCTGTAAAGTGACATCCTTCAGATACTTGGTGGCTTTTCGGAT